CTTAGCAAATTGAAAAGATAACAGGCTCTTATTTTATATTCTAGCTTTTCAATAATGGTAATTTGAGTTTCTAATTTGTACAAAACTATGTTTGATTTATTACATGAGCAATATCTTAGCAAATTGAAAAGATAACAGGCTCTTATTTTATATTCTAGCCTTTCAATAATGGTAATTTAAGTTTCTAATTTGTACAAAACTATGTTTGATTTATTACATGAGCAATATCTTAGCAAATTGAAAAGATAACAGGCTCTTATTTTATATTCTAGCCTTTCAATAATGGTAATTTGAGTTTCTAATTTGTACAAAACTGTGTTTGATTTATTACATGAGCAATATCTTAGCAAATTGAAAAGATAACAGGCTCTTATTTTATATTCTAGCTTTTCAATAATGGTAATTTGAGTTTCTAATTTGTACAAAACTATGTTTGATTTATTACATGAGCAATATCGTAGCAAATTGAAAAGATAACAGTCTCTTATTTTATATTCTAGCTTTTCAATAATGGTAAATTTGAGTTTATAATTTGTACAAAACTATGTTTGATTTATTACATGAGCAATATCTTAGCAAATTGAAAAGATAACAGGCTCTTATTTTATATTCTAGCTTTTCAATATTGGTAAATTTGAGTTTATAATTTGTACAAAACTATAGACATAGTATTTTGACTTCACAAACATTTAATTTGAACCAGTGCTGCATTCAACATACCACGTGACACACAAAAATCAATATTTACCTGTTTTTTTATATTTGCTTTTAAATTAAGAACCTGAGTAAGGTATAGTACTAAAATATGAATTATAATATACAGTTTGATACCAAAGTTATTGATATAAATTCATGAAATAGTAGTTCAATAAAATTTTTAATGTGAATCAACAAACGAGATGACGTGGCCTTTCACCTGTGACCCGTCTCGAAAGGGTTAAGTCAGCTGCAGTTCTTTAATTGGGTGCTCTAACCAATAAAAGTTTATTGTGCATAGCTATATGAATATCACACGTAGCATAAACTACATGTACATAAACACATGTAAATGTTTGATTTCATTTATATCGATTACCTGTATAATATAACAAGTTTTCAATCAAATACAGATGAGTAGTTATGGTAATATTACCAGCAAATTTTGAAAACAAGCATAAAAAAAGGTTCAAACTTTTTTTTGGTAACATGTTCCAAACCTTCAAAGGTCAACTATACCCTTCATTGCAGCTATATTCATGATAAATCTGGTCTGAAAATTAGCTTTCTGGAAATTATAAACTAAAAACATCAAACCTAATTAAGTAATGATCATTTATTTTCCAATCAAACCTAATGGTATAAAAAATCCTCCCAGTACTATTTGTCAACAATACTAAGATACGTGTGCAAAGCACTAAATATGTTACATGCTTTATTAGTGGTTTGTTCTACACTGAATAATAACCAAATGTGAATAAATACATACATCAAACAACAAATTTCAAACAGTTCGTTTTATATTAAAATATCACATGACATACTGCATGCATTTTTCTGTCAACTCAATAGTCATTCAAGATGGCATGTATACCTACCACAATGTTTTTCGGAACAGTGGGTGATCTGCCATAAGAAGAGGTTAACTATTTTCTAATCCCACCAATAAAAAAAGTGTTGAAATTTCAATTCTATTATTGTAAAAACAATAGCATCACCAACTGACCTTGCTATTAAGAATATTTTGAGTAGCTCAGAGCTACCCCACAATGCTTACAAGTGTTGGATGGTGTTGTATAATAAAACTAGTATTAACTTTGTTCAAGGACTGATCAAACTGACCAATCCTTGAACAAACATAATGGAAACATTTCAATTACTTGAATATTTGGAATAATAGTAATAAACAGTAATAAATGGAACCCCTAATTTTGATTAGTTCAATAAGTTGTGACACTAATTGATTAAGCTGAACAAACTTGAATATACCAAAAATAACAATGAAAACTTATATTGGCACTACTTTGAATACTGGACAGAGCTGGGTGATTAAATTGATCAATCAATTACCTTTATTAGTGTCCCATAAAGATCCAAGTAGATCGCTTGGTCTGAATGCTAGGCTTGATACTGTGTAAAATGAGCAGATTTTATAATGAATTTGCAGAATCAATTTGCTGGAAATAAGATTTTTGGAATGGATGCGCTACACTTAAAATAGTTAGGGGGAACATGTTTGCAAGAGCTATCAACTCTGCAGTAAGGACAACTTTAAACTAGAACTTGACAAAGGTGAGAACCAGGATCAAACACTTGGAAAAAACACAAGATATGTGAATAGATGTAGAGTAGGAAAAAAGTTCACTCAAGAAAATCTCACTTGTTTATTATTTTAGGGTTAGAAGTAGCAGAAACATAACAGATGGGATTAAAGTTCTTAGAATAGAACATATTGAAACGACTGAGACTTAGTCAGATTTAGACAATTCTGATGTTTGAAATTTATTTGCAATACAAGGCTATAGGTATTTTTAATAGAGACAGAGTATTTGAAAGATGGGGTGTGGCTTTGTATGCGAGGCAGCCTGTTGAAGTTAAGGATATTAAATATGATAAGTAGGCTGAATCAGTATGGATCTTCATTAGTGGATAGAAGAGTAACAGGCATTTAATTGGATTGTGATATATATCATCAGCTGATTGATGATCAAGAATGCAACAGTTAACGAGGTTTTAATTCTGGGGATACGGATTAGGTAAATTTAGTGTCAAATGGTCATCGGACAGCAATAACACAAACAGAATTTTTAGGTACATACAGAGAAATATTACATACAAGTTGAAAGAGGTCATTTCACTTTAAGAGGTCATTGATGTCCTGGATGAAATACATTAGAGATACCATAACATCTGACAGACAACGAGGGTCCCTTTGGTCGATCGTGGTTGTTCCGTTTATTCCACCTATTATCCAATATGTAATAACGTTCAAGATAAGAAAATACACTTGCAACCACAGTCTTGCTCTGATCCACGTGATAGCTTGACTTGATCAAAGTTAATATTCACTTCTCATCTTCATGTCAATAAATAAAAAAAACTGGCCAAGTTTCCAGATGATATTAAATCAATGGATATCCCAAACTGTACTAAAAATTTTGAAGTTTTTCAGTGAGATTTTGAGTTTCTGGTAAGTTGGGCTAATACCTGGCAGGTGCTTTTAATCTTAATAAAAGTAAGATTATGCATATTAGTTATCACAACATTAATTATCCGAATAATCTTGCATACAGAAATATCTTGGTGAAGTTTATAGGGCAAAAGAGTGGGACAAACATGATTTTAGATTATATATATAGAAATATTTACTACAAGTTAATAATGCAAATATAATTTTAGATTATATACAGAGAAATGTTAACTACAAGTTGAAGGAGGTCAATGTAGGGCCGACTAAAACGTATTTAATATAACATAACATTTCAAAGATAGAAAGAAACCCTTAGGCTTATCATGTCTGTCCCATTCACCTAAAACCCATATGCCTATATCCAACCCTTACTCCCCTAGTGTTAACCCATTAACTGCAGTTGTTCTAAACACGCGAGGAATTTTTGCAAGCTGTACACCATATCCAGCACACTCACATTCAACTTCCGGAGACAGACCGTACCCTATACAGCAAATCTCCAGTCAATGTATTAATTAAGCCCTTTCTTGAACTGTCCCAATCCTGATGTCTGTATCACATCTGAAGGCAGTTTATTCCAAAGGCTAACTGTCCCATTAGAAAAAAATGTCTAATTTGCAGATGATCTCTACACTACTAAATCTACGATACTAGTCCTACCACTCTTACAACTTAACACATACACACACAAGATGATGTATCGATCCCATCTATTCCCTTTATAATTTTGCATAGTTCATTCAGATTCCTTGTACTCCTTCTCATGAGAAAATAATCTTAAAAACCTTAAACTGTCCTCATATTGCAGCCACTGATCATCCTAATAGCCCTCCTTTGAACCTTTTCCAACAACGTTATGTCCTCTTTAACATAAGGAGCCCAAGAATAAATACAATATTTTAAATGATGCCCAACCAGAGATATGTACAAAGAAACAATAACAGCAGTAATTCCCTTTGTTTTGCATTAATATTCCTATAGATACAACCCAAAATCCTGTATGTTTTTTCTCTGGCAACAACACACTGCCTGGAAGGCTTAGGAAACTGATTTGGCGAAAACACCTTTTTTCCATAATGCTATTGAGTTGATGTCTATCAAGGTAGTAATTCGCAAAGGTGATCTAAATACAGTTTTATAAGTTATTTTAAATTAATTTATTGCTATCAATATTTGTTTCACCTTTATAGACATTGTTAGTCCAGGTAATATTATGTGGAAATCTTGTCTCGTGTTCAAAACATTGCTCTTTGTTGTTGTGGGTGAAAGTGTGGATTTGATATACTTGGATTTTTGGACAACGTGTCACATAAAATATTATTAAAGAAAATTATCACTGTGGGTGTGTGGATACATTAATTCAACGGATTAAGGGTTGGTTAGAGGAAAGGAAGCAGAGGGTTGTAATATATTGAGCTCTGTTAAACTGGTTTGGAGTTACAAATGGAGTATTCAAGGGCTCTGTACTGAAACCTTTACTATATTTGTTATACAAAAGATATTGATAAGAGAATGGCCAACAAATTAATCAAGTGTGGTGATATTAAAGTTTTTGGTATAGTTTGCTTTGAGAAAAATGCTGTTACTTTACAAAGGGACTTGGATCATTGGATAAAAGGAGCAAATAAATGGCAGATAACATTTAATTATTCTAAACTTAAAGTACACTTGGTCTACCTTACTTTAAGCTTTGCAATATTCAGTTTTTCTCATTTAATAAATATGATTATAGTTTTTGACTATACATAACCATTGGTGGAACATTACATATTAGTAGTTACAACTATATGAGCTACATACCGAACCTAGTTTATCGTGCCATAAACTAACATAATATGAACAGACTTAATCTTGATGACCTAGAAAATGCATAAAAATATAATATGCCTATCACTGCTAATAATTAATATTTCTATACTGTTACTCAAGCAGAAATTTCAATGCAATGTTTCACCTCACATAATAAATAGAAAAAAAAAGTTGCTCAAAATCAGTTGTCATGAGTTAGCTTCAAACACCCATCAATAGCATCTTAGAACTAATACCCGTGCCTCTTACATCAGGAAACCAGTGCTATGTGGCGACAAACGTGAATTCTTATGAACACGATCAAACATACTCAATACATATTTATAGACTCAAAGATATTGGATGTCTGCTATGTACACCCTCTGAACATTTGCAGTAAAAGCACGACCATCACATATGCAATCACCACCTAAGATACTGAGCTTTTTACTTTTGTATGTTTTAAACAAGTTCAGTACATGTACAATTTTGAAATATAACATTCCAATCTAAACGACATACAACTTATGTAAAAATAAAACTTTCAAGCATATTAAAATTTATTTATCAGCCTACACAGGCTTATCCTAAGCCTAATAGTACTAGTAATACTAATAGTAACTGTAATACTAAATAAGCACGCAAATTTATTAACATTAATATTAATAATAATATTACAAATATAAAAATAACAATATTAATTTATTCTAAAATCTGTCAAAAGTTGAAAACGTGATTTCACAAACCTAGTAAAAGGAGTTTAAGTTCTCTTCTGGCATCACGCTTGTCCTTGCGAAGTTGTCTTTCTATTTCTTGATTGATTCTTTTTTGTTCTTTTCCTTCTTCGCTTAGACAACAAGCCATATTCGAAAAAAAATTATCAATATATCATTTACCATACGAGTCCCCCCTATACGTACAATCGCCGTCTTTAATGTTTATTGTTACGTGTTTTACTTTTTAAACTATTTCGTTAATCACTTTCTTGTCGTTTACTGAAATAGTGAATAATTATTTGTGATACTAATAACGTTAAGCCTAAAGGCTAAACGTATCGATGATATAATAGTACTACCACTAGTATTACTACAAATTACGAAGTTTCAAAACGAACCCGAGATTGAACATTAAAAACGGTACTTCGATGAAAAATTATTTCAGTTACTATCATATAGAAAATCTTGTAATTATAAAAGAGATGTATAAAACGATACATATTCAAAACCACACGCAATATTCCTCAATGGTATAATTATACAAACACTCACACCACACATATTTCCTGAACAAAATTTACTCACGCTGACATATTGGGTGTGGCGTAGCACGAACTATTGGGAAGACGAACAACTAGCCTAAACGCTTTCCAAATTATTTTACTGTGTATGAAAGATGAAAAGAATATTACTTAATTATTATCAGGTATACTGAATACATAATCACTGCGTGTTTTATCAGTATGAATTAAAACTAAAAACCAAGAACGTGAAACAATGAGACTTTGTAGGGAGGAGAGATATTTCGGTAAGAGCCCACGTGTTTGAAGTTGTCATTCATATTTTCTTTGAAATAAATAAGATTTCGTCACTTAAAACAATCTACATGTGACATGCAAGCTCGTTGTCAGAATTAATCAGAAATATTCAAGTTCCAAAAATTATGTTTTCACACCGAATTAATGAAAAGTAATTAATTGAAATAATATTCATGCATTGACAAAGACTCTTCTTTTCACAAAAAAAAAAAATTGAAACGAAAATCTGAAGTACAAATTTAAATACCATTTATATTTATAACGAAATAAAACAATAGTTTTAACTCCAAGAAAATCAAAATAAACAAATTACGTTTCAATTAATAGTTTGTTTTTTAGTTTACTTACTGATTAAGTATTATTTTATTATAAGTTACAGCTTTTATAGTAAGGAAGATTACTATTTTTTTAGAACAGATACGAAGTATCGATCACTAGTGCGATCGTTTAATATTCGACATTTAAATACTAAAACCTTCTTTACCGTTAAAACTTGTGTACTTGAGAATTATCGCGCCAGTGATCGAAACGTCGTACCTGTTATGAAAAATATTTTCCTTACTGTAAAAGCTCTATAGCTTGTAATAAAATATAATTACAAATTCGATGACGAGGAACCCACTTTGAGACTAATAATGCTCGGCTTGAATAGGTAATGAAGAAAAACTTTAATATAAGTTTAACA